ATCATATACATATCGGGTACTGATATGTATATGATATGTAAATAATATGTAAACGATATATATATTTACACATATTTTACACATATCGGGTACCCGATTTTCAGCATTAATACTACACATATCAGGTACATATCTGATACATATCTGCTACCCGATGAGGTCCCCCGATTCCCTCTGTCATCAATTTATAGAGTTGCCACATCAAACGGGCATTCTCATAGTTGAACGAACGAATAAACGAACAAACGAACAATTAAACGAATAAACAAGTTAATAAACAACAACAACATTCTTGGTTCACGAAATAAATAGCGTTAGTAATATAAAACGTCAAACGATATAAAATAAATTTAACTTCTCTGAATTTTTCCCAAATTATATCCACTTTTACCTTTAATTTCAAACTTCGATAGCTCTCGCTACGAATTATTACTTTTCAAAAGTGTATATTTAATTCATCTTAAAAATCTTCATTTTATTCAATTAAAATTAATTTAGCAAACATCAATTAAAGTTTAGGGCGAACCTATTACCTTTAATTAATATTAAACTTTACTAACAAATAATTAAATGAAACTTATATTTTTATTGAGTTCTGTGGATTAGAACTATGGAATTACCTTGAATTCCGCTTTCTATTTATACAAATTTTGTAATACTTTCTATTCTAATATATGCTATCTATATTAGTGCTCTATACGAGCTAAGCTGGCTCATGAGCTGGCTCAAGCTTTTCAAGCTGAGCCAAGCCAAGTCATGATTAAATTGGCTTGGTGGCTCACGAGCCAGCTTGGAAGAGCTCGAACCAGTTATTAGGCTCAGCTCAAAAAGCTCGAGCCTGTAACACACTTGGCTCAAAAAGCTCGAGCTGGCTCACGAGCCAAACGAGCTATTATACAAAAAATGTTGCGAAATGTTTTTATATAATAATGCATGCATAAACGAAACGTTTTCGCAACTTTTTTTCATTGTTTATTAAAGAACATTGTGAAAACGTTTATTTAAGTTTTTACATGTAAAATTGAAAAAAAAACACCGGAACTAATGATTCCAGCGTTTTTACATGTAAAATTGAAAAAAAATGCCAGAACTAATAGTTTCGGCGTTTTTACATGTAAAATCAAAAAGAAACCGCCGGAATTAATAATTCTGGCGTTTTTACATGTAAAATCGAAAAAAAACGCCATAACTAATGATTCCAGCGTTTTTACATGTAAAATTAAAAAAAACGCCAAAACTAATAGTTTTGGCATTTTTACATGTAAAATCAAAAAGAAAAATGCCGGAACTAATTATTCTGGCGTTTTTACATGTACAATCGAAAAAAAATGCCGAAACTATCCGTTTCGGCGTTTTTACATGTAAAATTAAAAGAAATACGCCGAAACTATCAGTTTCAGCGTTTTTACATGTAAAACCAAAAAGAAATACGCCGGAACCAATTATTCCAGCGCTTTTACATGTAAAATCGAAAAAAATGCCGAAACTATCAGTTTCGGCGTTTTTACATGTAAAACCAAAAGGAAATACGCTGGAACTAATTATTCCGGCACTTTTACATGTAAAATCGAAAAAAAAATGCCGAAACTATCAGTTTCGGCATTTTTACATGTAAAATCAAAAGGAAAAATGCCGAAACAAATAGTTTCGGCGTTTTATATAAATATAAAAGTAAAAAACGTTTCGCAACATTTTTTTTAATAATTTAAAGTAAAACGTTGCGAAAACGTTTTTATGATAAAGCTCGAGCCAGCTCGAGCCCAGCTTGGTTCAAGCCAGGATTTTCATGGTTCAGCTTGGCTCGAACTGAGCTGAGCCAAGATTTTTTGTGGCTCGGCTCATTTCAGGCTTGGCTTGGCACAGATCTTCAAGCCAAGCCAAGCCAAACTGTAGCTCGGCTCGAGCCGGCTCATGTAGAGCACTAATTTATATACTATCTTTTATGTTCTTTTTATGTATTATCTTTGAACTATCTTTCTAATATGCTATCTATATTTTAAATACGCTATCTTTTAATATGCTATTTTTAATATGCATGTATCTTCTATTTTAATATGTTATCTTTTTATATATATTCTTTTTTAATATGTTATCTTTTATATTCCGTCTTTATACTATCTTTTTATATTATCTTTGTATTATCTTTTTATATTATTATATTATCTTTTATATTATCTTTTTATATTATTTTATGTTCTTTAATCTTTCTGACATTATTTTATATGTTCTTTTAATTCGCTATCTTTCCACTTTATGTGTTTTGCTTATAATCTATCTTTTGTGGCTTATAATTATTCTTTCTAATTGTTGTTATTGTCAAAGATGCTAAGCCGCAATTGATCAACTCTAATTATTCTATTGGTTCTTTGTCAATTATTCGATAAATATTACATCATGTAGATCATTACTCTTTCTAAATGTTTATCCTTTTCGGCTAATTATTTATCCATCTACGCCAATTCATAATTAATTTGTTCGTTCCTAATACTTGGCAATTACATTTGGTGATTGAATTTTATTATCTTTTCATGCTTGATATTCGACCGTTTACACCGATATATTAGTTTTTAACCAGTGTATATTTCTTGCCTTCTGGGTTTTCTTATATAAATTTGTTTTCATGACACCTGGTAGATGAGCAACTTCACAGTATGTCCAACTTAGGTTTTCGTGTGGAATTAATGGTATCGATATTTTTAGTCCATTTAAAAAATATACCCTCTTGGTTCAAATGTAATAATTATACCACTACAAACAAAATCCGAGAATTTAAATGAGGTAATCCTTTCTTTAGATCGGTTAGATCTTAAAGGTACTGTATTGTTCATATTTTTTTTCAAATCACGTGAATAATGAAACTTTTGTCATGAGAAATTGAAAACCTGAAATGCGCAGTATAATATCAGAAAAATTTTTGCCAAGGTTTTTTCATGTACAGTAGAACGTCATTAGTTTATGTCTGCAAAAAATGAATAATTAATTCATCAACCTTTTTTCAGAAAGTTTTGGGAATTATTAATATTATTAATAAAAATGATTTATGTAGCCAAAAGCAATCGTCTGGGACATGCAAAAACTAAAAACAAACATTGGAGAGTAATTACATCCAAAAAAAAGAAAAGGGAACATTGGTGATATATTCATAAATAGTTGAAATAAACATTGTTAATTATTAAAAAATGTATCATTTTATTAAATTATTTTGTTAAATTATACTGAAGGTTAAACTAAATTACTATAAATATATAACTGATAATATTAAAAAATGAATAGGCTAGTAGTATGATATATATTATGATATATTGATTTTTCTTCCTTTTACTGGTGGCTTAGTCATATTCCCATTAGAAGGATCTATAGAACTTAAATGGTTACCCTTATTATCATAAACTTCAATATCATTATGAGTAAAATCCCATTCAAAATATTTTTTATTTTATCCTGTTCCACTAGTTTTAGTTTACCACAAAAAGAATCCAAACCTTTCCATACTGAACTTAAACTAGGCCCATGAATAAATGGACTTTTAAGTATTGGACCTAATTTAGGCAATTTTATTTTTGAAAATCATTTTGAAAGTGTGTCATTTTTCGTAGAAGCTCTACCATCTATGTATCGACCAAATCCAGTTGGATAAGCTTTTTGATTATAATTTAAAAGAACGGCGAAGGTTATGGTGATAAAAACAAGTATTAAGATAAGAATCTTTTTGATAAAATTATTAATTTAGTTGTTAAGAAGTAAATTTTACAAGAATAAAATTATACAACTTTTGAGAATTAGAATGTGTATTTATTAAAAAACACCAATAAAAGTATACAATTTTTAAGAATTAGATTTATTAAAAAACACTAATTTTTATTTGCAGTTTGTGAAACTGTTCATTAATCTTGCATTTTTTAATAAATACACGTTGTTCTAATTCTCAAAAGTTGTATAATTTCATTTTTGTCTGATTATTTTAGCCTTTAAAAGTAATAAAATCAATCTTGTGCAAAATTTGATATTTAAATTTGAAATGCTGTTAAAAATTCAGGGTAACCCTGGATACATAGAATTTGCCGATCTAAATTTTCTAACTATAGATCAACTGCAGATACGCTAAAAAAATCTTTAATTACGTAATTCCTTATTAAAATAGAGCATTTTTCATATCTATTTTTAATCATAATTTTTCATGAATGAGTTTCTAAATAAATGTCTCAGTGCGAAAAATAAAAGATTTATGCATTTCGTCAATGAACTTCTTTATTAAGCCAAATTTTTTAAGTATTGGATACAGATATTATTTATAGTGACAGTTTTAATCTTAATAGTTCAGCATTCTGTCCTATATGCAATAGAGATCATAAAGAAAAATCTATATGACTATATGGAATAATATTGAATGTGGCGCAGTAATTTTATGTAGATCAATTTTGTAGATCATTTCATAGATCCCTTGATTTTTTTGATTTTTTTGATTTTCTTGATTTATTTGATAAATCTGATAAATCTGATAAATTTGATAAATTTGATTTATTTATTTTATTTTATTTTATTTGTTATATTTATTTTATTTTATTTATTTTATTTATTTATTATATTTGTTTTATTTATTTTATCAAATATTCTTGATTTTTATTTTATTATAAATAGTGATAGGATTTTACCAAGTAGAAGGGGAGGTCAGTCAGTTAGTTAAGAATTGTATTGTAGTATTCGAGTTATACGAAAAGAGTATTATTTTCAGTAGTATAATTCAAGATAGTTAATTTCGCAACCAAGAGATTATCTATATTTTTCATCATATTTAAAATCTTACATTATTTTAATAAAAACCTATTTTCTTTAACTGAACATCCAACATTATTTCACGTGATTATTTGTGATCAACTTTAAGTTAAACTCCAGTTAACCTGTTAAAGCGTTAAAGTTTTTCAGTCAGCTTTAATCGTTGACAGGATAACAATATAAACGGTGAATAAGGATCTGTTGAATATTATGGAGAATGAACTTATCGTCTCAAATATACATGTGACCCTAACCTATTTTCTAAAAAAAGTAGTTTCGGAAATAATTTCAGTTTCAAAAATTTTTAATTATATTATTTAAGCCCTGGTTTTGGATACAATTTTTAACTTTAAGGTTTTGAACAAGGTTTTGGACATAAGCAAAACCCTGTCCAAAAACTTGTCCAAATTTGTCCAAAATTGTTCAATTGCTCAGGGATAGATCCAGTGTTGGCCAGTGACTCAAATGACCTCAAATAACTCAAATGACTGGTCACGTGTCATTTGGGTCATTTCAACATTAAATGACAAATGACCTAGTCATTTAAAAATTACATTATAATTCTGGCCAGAACTATTCATACAATTTCACTATTTCATGGATAAAATTTTCACATGATATTAGAAGTTCATAAT